AATGCTGGGAAAGATTGAGGGCAATAGAAGAAGGGGACGACAGAGAATGAGATGGCTGGATGGAGTCACTGAAGCAGTAGGTGTGAATTTAAGTGGACTCCAGAAGATGGTAGAGGACAGGAAGACCTGGAGGAATGTTGTCCATGGGGTCGCGATGGGTCGGACACGACTTCGCAATTAACAACAACAACAATTAGTTCACCATTTTTCTTTTCCTGATGGAATGGGGTGGAAATTCCCCTTCCCTCATCAGGGAGGGTGCTTTGGGCACTTTTTCAGGAAGGCATTTTTTTCTTAAAGTCATAAAGAAAGGATAGAGTCTCACCCAGTTTCATCCACGTTGCTGCAAGGTTGCTTGTTACTGTTTATTGTCTTCCATTGTCACAGCTTCTGACTGGCTACACAAATGTAACCAGTTTTTCCCCCACCAGTTTGGAGGGCTTTCTCGGATCAAACTGAAGTACCTCTGCCCTCCCACGATCAATGAGGGTTCCCTCCTTGCTTGTTACCTTTACAGGGTGAACTTCCGACCCTTTCCAGGTTCCCCAGTGGGGCAAAATCAAATGTGAAAGACTGAACCCCATCTTCCTGCACTCGTCCCTCCATGATGTTAAACCGGAAGCCGCAAGCTCCACACCTTTTGGACATGCATGCAAGATTGTAATACAAGTACAAAAAGGGTGGAGTTTGCAGCAATACAATTCAATGCTGCTTTTATCTGAATGACCCATTCAACAACCTCTGGAGATAGTATTACTATTGGAGATTTCAATCACTTAGAAGTAAACTTCAGCTTCTGTTTCAGGCTGTAGATTTTTTCTCTTACATCTGGTGATTTTTCTTACTAGTGAAGAATTTCAGCAAACATTTATATTATATAAAAGGCAGTGATAAATTTCCTAGTTCATCTGATCTCCAAATTTAGTAGATCTAAAGACACATTTAGTTTTTAAGAATTAAATTATTTCCTCTTATTTTAATTAGTCCAGAGTGAGTGTGCTTCACAGATTCTTGGTCTAGATAAAGATATTGCATTTTAGGTTGTGAATGGTAAAACTTCTTCATCCCCTCCCAACCCAATTCAGTTAGCAAATCTTTTCACATACAAAATTAAAAAGAATGAAAATAAATAAATACACATTTGTTAGTATACTAGTTAAAGTACTGGATTAGGAAAAGTGAGACCCAGGTTCTAGTTTTCCTGTAAACATGGAAGCTAGGTTGGTGACCTAGGATCAATAAATCTCTCAATCTTAGACAAGGATCATGAACAACACTTATTTGTCAATACACAATAGACTAGCATGGTACATTAATCATACCTTCAATGGAGAAGCTTTCCTTCTGATCTGGCTTGAGAAGAGTAGATATACACACACATAAAAACAACTTGCTTTTCCCTTCCATTGTGCACATGTGAAGTTTTCTAAACATCAAGAAAAGGGGAAAGATTAACAAGTCCCAATCTATAGATGATAGTTCTAATTCAGAGTGGCTTTCAAAAATTTATTCTAGTATAAACAAACTGACAACATATTTAGCAGTATTCTGTAATTCATAAAATGATATAGTTTCGTTTTATTTACAGAAGGGGTTGCTGAGAAACTCATCAAAAAATGAATGCCTCACAATTCAGGATGCCAAGCAGCACCCCTGTTCATAGGTGTGGTAAGTGTGATTATATAAGCCAGGGGTAGGCAACCCAAAACACTCAAAGAGCCATTTGGACTTGTTTCCCACAGAAAAAAAAAACACTGGGAGCTGCAAAACTTTTTTGATATCTGAAATGAAGATAAAACTGCATATATCCTTTTTTACCTTTGGTTATTTGGGTTTTCTCCCACGTAAAATTGGAAGTGTTTTGGCGACATTTCAACGAAGTCCCATTCGTCATCTTCAGGCTGGTGTTTTCAGCTTCGTGCTTCGAGGAGCAATATGTGGTCTTAGCTGTTTCTTCCTTTTAACTGCCAGTGGGGGTATGAACTGATTGGGTGGGAGCTTGGCTGTGTTCTGATTGGGTGGAGGTGTGTTCTGAAGAATAAGTGCACGCATTGAAGAACATAAGAACTCAGTCAAAAAAGAGGAACCAACTTCTTCCCTGGTCCAACACCTTAAAATCACAGGACATGAAATTGACTTTAAAAAGACCAGAACTATCGCCAAAACGAACATTTTAATAACAGAATAATCAGAGAAGCCATCGAGATAGAAAAACGCCCACACAGCATGAACAAACGAGATGATACCTCCCGCCTACCAGCCATTTGGAAACCCGCCCTTATTGACAAATGACTCCCTAACACAAAAAATGACATCAGACCCACACTCACAAAAACCACACAGGATGTCACCACCACACATCCACGCAAAAAGCAAACCCAAAGCCACACCGATGATGAGGCATGACCACAAACCAGAAGCCAGACCACAGCTGCATCATTAGCCACTTTAAACCCCTCCAATCCATACATGAAGCAAACTGACACCCACCATGAAGATGAGGCACGACCACAAACGCGAAGCCAAAAAATAGCAATGCAGCTCACCATTTTAAACTGCAACTCAGACTAACCTGAGCACAACAAAGCCCTCACCCAAACAGAACACTCCCCCAGCCAATCAGAGCACAGCAAACCCCCCAGCCAATCAGAGCACAGTCAACCCCCCCAGCCAATCAGAGCACAGCCAAGCTCCTAACCAATCAGAACACACCTGCATCCAATCAGAACACAGCCAAGCTCTCATCCAATCAGTTCATACCCCCACTGGCAGTTAAAAGGAGGAAACAGCTACAATCACACATTGTTCCCAGAAGCATGAAGCCGAAAGCACCAGCCTGAAGATGATGAATGAGACTTCGTTGAAACGTCGCCAAGACACTTCCAATTTTACGTGGGGCTCCCAGTGTTTTTTTTTTCTGTGGGAAACGAGTCCAAGTGTCTCCTTGAGTGTTTTGGGTTGCCTACCCTTGTTCTAGGATATGCATACTAGGATACCAGTTTATAAAATTGCAGTTCCCAACAAAAGGAACAGGCAATGAGTAGTATAGGCTAGATTTCCTGTTCAGGAGAGAACCAAAGTCCTAGCAGTATTCTAAATGCAAAATAAATCTAGCATGCATGCTATTACTTTTCCAGCAGTTACCGTCATAGGCTTTAATAGTGTGGAAAATCCAATAAGCTTTTATACAATGATCAGAGATTCTCCAGACCAAATAATTGTCTTTCTCAATAATCTGATATAAAATATATCAACAATAACCCCCCCCCTAATTTAACAAGAATATAAAACAATATATTAATTGGCTTTATCTGTGACCACTTTTATTGCATTGAGTTAAATTCTGGGAAAAATTTGTTGTATTTAACAGGTAGAGACATGATGCTTATTAAGATTTAAACTGATAACTAAACAGGTTAATTTTTAGAACTAATTGAATGTTGAAATTTTAAAAAGCTCCTTTTTTCTTTTGTACTATATTTACAAAAGGGCTTAACTATTTAGTCACAAGTATATGGTTTGCAATTATCTTTATTTAGAATGATTTTAAGTTTGTGTTTCTAATTTCCTAATTTTGTGTGTACTTCATAAGTTGCAACAGAATCGAACCCTGATATAGTGAAGAATTGTGGTGTTACAGCAATACATGTAAATTAAGCATCTGGTTATAATTGTAACCCAAAAAGTTTTAGCAGAAATTTATCTTCTTCAACGTGTGAATTCTCAATAAGACTTTATTTTAAAAGTCTTCAGTATACAATAGCATATGTTTTAATTTCTGAGATAATCTCTATCAAGAACAATGAAATCCATAAAACCTCATTAAAGGTTTTAAAGAACTGCCAAAACAATAATACAAAGTGGCAAGTGTATGACAGTTGTGGAAAGGAATGGGAATGGAAATAAGTCTGTCTTGATTCTGTTTGGCTTAATACGGTGCAGATGGAAGTTCTGTCAGTCTTTCTCCAGCCAGCATCAGAGTTGAAGTCCACATATCTTAAAGTCATCAAGGTTGAAAAACCCTGCTTTATAAAGTACATTTCTGACTTGTCCTACCTTAAACTGCTGACAGAGAGTACATAATGGTAAATACCAAGCATTGATGTAATATTTCAGGAATTGTTAAAGAAAAACAGAAATGTTAAGCAACTGAAGTTCAGGTGACTTTTCATCTATACTTGTCATGGGAGGACATTGGAAAGAATGCAAAAGTGAATTGTGAAGATAGTATATGTGATATTGCAGAGAATTATTTATCATGAGAGCACATGGAAAATTGAATAGATTCTTGTAAATGGGTGCAGGTGACTTCCTCTCTATTTGAAAAACATTTCTATTTTCTCTGTCTAACTGCACATCTACTTTAAATATTAATAAAATAATTATCTCCCTCATAACCACATCACTGCCTTAATTTCTTTATATTTATTTTCAATTATAGGTAATCTTCGAAGTATGACTGTAATGTAGCTTGCCCATTATCCAATCTCTTTTTTAAAACTTCCAGTGTTGGAGCACCCACAACTTCTGGAGGGAAATCGTTCCACTGATTAATTGTTCTAGTTGTCAGAAAAATTCTCCTTAGTTCTAGGTTGCTTCTTGATAAATTTCCATCCATTACTTCTTGTCCTGCCTTCAGGTGCTTTGGAGAATAGCTTGATCCCCTGTTCTTTATGGCAATTCATAAGATATTGGAATACTGCTATCATGTCAGCCCTAGACCTTCTTTTCATTAAACTAGATATACCCAATTCCAGCAACAATTCTTTATATGTTTAGCCTCCAGTCCTTTCTTGTTCAATTTGTCCATATTATCAGACCAATACAAAAATAAGTATTTGGTCACTGTGACATAGTTTGTGATGTAACAAATATGCTATTTTCATCTACACAAAAAAAAATTCCCAGTATCCTCATTGGTAAAACTCATTGTGATATCATTATTCCTTCCTAAGTGATCAGAAAGAGATTTTCACAACTCTGGGACAAAATAAGTCCTCAGGTAGCAGACAAGAAACAAGAGTAAGATAGTGGAAGAGAAAGGGGGGAAACATGTTTTTTCTTTTTTAAGATTATGACCAGCAGACCCTGTGCATGTTGCATGACTTGTCCTTGCTGCCCAGGGTGTAATTGCTGTAAGAAATGCCTCAGAATATGTGGCCCCAAACAATCCAGCCTGTGCTGGAAGTTTGTGTTTACAGATGAAAGGAACTGTGACTGTTGCTACTGCCCACATGATGATGACACCACCTGCCAGTGCTGTCACTGTGCATTCTCAGAAAGCCCCAACTGTCGCTGGTGCTGCTGCTCCTGTGCTAATAATAGAAACTGCAAGTGCTTGTGCTGTACTGAGGAGAATAATGAATGTCAGTGCTATGAAAGTAGGTGTTGCACTTTTCCATATTTGCCATACAGACGTGGAGCTAAATTACGAAAAAGGTAAGAGCTGTCAAACATTGATTCTTTGGGGAATCTTCCTCAAAACACATTGATCTATCACCCTTAGTAATCTCTGTGTTTATGTACTTTTTTTTTTAACTGGCGCTCTTAAAGATCAAATGTGGAATTATTATTAGGCTAGTTCAGACCATAAAGTTTCTTCAAAATAGTTTATCAAATTCTGCAGCATGAGATTATGAGAATTCTGCATTTTTTCTTAGAATATCCCCTTGTGAATTTTTAACCAAACATATCCAAAAGTGGCTCGTACATATAAAAGTTACAGCAATTGTACCCTTAAGTCTACCACTTAAAAGACTGTAAATGGCAGGTGGAAGATGTAAGGTGCAATTTTAAAAAAATCTGCTCGTTGAAGGAGGAAACAAAAAGTTAAATCCTAACCGAATGGAAATACTAACTGTTCTCTTCTTCTGGAAAGGAATAATTATAGAACCTAAACCTATAACCAGGGCTTTTTTTCTCATAGAACATCCAGAATGGAGTTCCAGCACCTTTTTTTGGATGGAACCTTGTAGAGTAGGCAAGGCAGGCTGTATGACATGTGTGAGTTCCGGCACCTCTTTTTTTTTTTTTTTTTAGAAAAAAAGCACTGCCTATAACTCACAACATTTTAAATGCAATTGCAGTATTTTATATTTGGTACCCAAATAAAAATAATTAACTATAAAAAGTATGCAAATGTGAGTAGATTAATAGGTACTACTTTGGTGGGAAGGTAACACCATTCTATGCACCTTTGGTATATAGCCATGCTGGCCACATGACCACAGAAAATGTTTCCAGACAACACTAGCTCTCCCGGCCAAAAACCAAGATGACCACTGTGCCCTAGAATTGGTCACGATTGGACAGGGAAACCTTTACTTAATCTTTGCCAGGGATATGCAATTCATTTCCAAGAATGACATAAAATCCTTTTTGTTATATGTGACAAAAGCCCTTTTTCTGTCATACTACTAATCACCAAAATGGTGTTCCCTGCATCTAGCCTTTAGAATTTCAATGTCTGATTTGTCTATAAACAATATAGAAACCTAATATTCATTGATTTCCCCAGCACACTCATTAGTAGTCCGATAATAAATAATTATAAATAAAGAACATTCTTTAGAGGCGCAAGAGTCAATAATACATAAAATGTATGCATTGTATAAATGCTGTATCTCCTTGTCTAATAGTACTTGTATCACAACATATATATACATATATATATATATATATATACTTATATACATGTATGTATATATATATGCCTTATATATATTGATATAAAGTCATTATATAGCTTTAACTAATTTTTGTATGGAAGCAAAAAAAAAGAGGAAAGATTCACCACTGTGTTAGCTGCATATACTCATCTCAATCTGTTCATCCCGCATTGAAGAAGTGGTCCCTCAGAGATAAAATAATGTTATTTTACAGAAGGCTTCCATAAATCCCAAACTTCATGTAAAGAAACCTATATTTCCTGCGTTACTAAAGACTTGAGGTTTTGCCACTGGCAGCATTCTCAGTAATAAAAATGCAAAAGTGTCCTAGAAAAGTTGCTAGACTTTCCCCTGCTACGATCATCATTACAAGTTAAGTAAACAGGGATGATTAGGAGGATAGTTTACAGAGGAGAAAGGTGTGGAAAGAAATGTGAACATTTGGTTTTTAATTAGGTGTAAACCAAAAAGGAAATTTTGAAGCAGTTGTCACTTGGTTCATAGAATTGTCCAAAGTAGAATTATTATTTTAAGCTTGATAATTATAAATATTAGTGGCATCCTTGAGTATAACTCAGAGGTTTCTGTATTGGTTTTATTTTCAGACTCAGAAGCCGAGGGGCAAGTGATACATCTGTCATTACATTGGATAAAGAGCCTTCTGGACATGCTTTTATTGACCAGCTTGTATGCCCATTGTGCCAACGAATGTTTCTCCGCCCGTTTATGTTGCCATGCAATCACTGCATTTGTGATAAATGTATCATGCAGAGCAGACTGAATGCTGAAATTACAGAGAGTTTCTACATCATCACATGTCCAATCTGCAACAAAGCACATTGCCTACCATTTTCTAAGAAAATGTATCTGAGGATTAATTATCTAAGGGCCAGATTGGCTAGAAAGTATATGCGCCGATACGGTTTCCTAAGATGGAGGTTTGACAAAAGCTATGTCCCAATCTATTGCCAGATTTGTGACGATCAAAAGGCGGACAAGAGATGTTTGTCATGTCAGCTGAACTACTGTAATATTTGCCTGAGGAATTATCACCAAGATATTTCCTCATTAAATCATGCCTATGCTAAAATTAGTGATGACATCTGGGAAGACAAAACCTGCTTAATCCATGGTGAAACAGCGCTTTCCAAATACTGCCTTGAAGATCATGAGCTACTATGTGAATATTGTGCTGAGGCACAACATAATGATCATAACAAAGTTTCTTTATCAGTAGCATGTACAAAAATGTCTGCTATGTTATTTACGACTATTGCAAAGTTTAAAAAAGGTTCCTATTTAAATTATTTTCTTTCTGCTTGATATTTTCTTAGTTGCTATATTATATCTAATCAATGTAAATGCCTGCTAAAGCTGTCAGAGATTTCTCTAAGGTTAGAAGTTTCCTGAGATCTTAAACAAGTGGTTTTGATCAATGAAGAATAAACTGTCTAGCTCAATGGTTCTCAATCTGTGGTCCACAGACCCTTGGGGGGGGGTCACAATGTTGCCACAGGGGGTCTGTGAAGGCTTGAAAAAAATGTTATGATTTAAATCTTGAGTTGAGTCTTGGAAGATCGTGGCAATGGTCCGTGGCCATAAGAAATATTTAAAGGGGGTCCATGATGAAGAAAAGATTGAGAACCACTTGTCTAGCTTATAGCTATCTAATGGTCTTGCAATATAGATAATAACTGATGCTCATTGTCTGCTTTTGGAAAAGTTATTATTTTTCAGCTTAATCTATTTTAGAGTTGGATGATTAGCACAACATACAGTATATCTGACCAATGAACACATAGACCTTGAAAGCACAGAAATATGATTTCTGAAAGGCCATTTATGGTTGCCTTTGAATTTCCTATAATAACATGCTAATTTTTTTAGATGACCCAGGATACTCATTATTCTTCCATTATTAGCTGAAAGGCACATATACGCATTTGTTACTAAACATGATTATGAAAATAAAAGTAAAAATGTTCAAATGTATTGTGATGTCACAGTGCAAATCCTGCTTTCCATAGTTGTATCTCAATGGCAGATAGAAGAAATGTGGAGGTTACAATGTGACTGCAGGGTTCATGTTTTGTCACTTCCTCCTGCTGAACCACTTTATGGGTGATGAAGTCATACACACACTCATATATAGGCACATACATATACAGACCTACTGTTAACATAGTTTTCTCTCCGTCACACAAACTTTAAGCTTTCTTCCTCTCTTTTCACAATCAAAATATATTTTTCCCTGCTGTCTTCCATTCTCTCAAAGAACTCCAGTTTTTTTTAAGTCTCTAGATCCTTATCTTTTATTGTTCAAATCTTACAGAACAATAGGAAACAATCAAATCTATGATTTGGGGAAGGAAGTATTGTGTCTAGTGAAGCAGAATAGTTTTGCTGAGGGTACAGCCATAACATCCTCTTGAGTCCATTTTAATTTCTGAACTTTTCATAAAGGAGTAAAGTCTAGCCTATTCCCTACTGCCCTTTCCAGATTATTAAGATATGGCAGGTTCAGCACGTCTGATGATCTGGAGTCAGACATTATAGAGTCAGACATTATAGGAAGTCAGAATTAAATGTGTACAATTTCATTTAATTGCAATTTAATATAAACCAAATAGACATGTTTCTGTGTTCATTTATGAGCCACATATGAGCTGGACAAAATGCTGAGAATAATTAATTATTACTTTTTCAAAGTGTAATAAATGCTATTGTAAATAACAAATTGATGCAATGCTGCTTAATAGAATTAATCCACTCTTTTCACTTATTTAAAGTAAGGTGCTATTTGTTTTTTCCCCCAACCCCATGGTGTGGGGTTCAAAGATGACCTTTTTGATTTACTGGGCAAATGACAACCTCAGGATCAAAAATGGCCTTTTGAATTTTTCCAAGCCACTTGAAACTGAGGGAAAAAATATCCAGCATTTTCTGGAGAATTGGGCTCACTACTTAGTAATGATATATAGATATATAGATTCTTGCTTTTTCCAACAAATACGAATGATCTCACAGGAAATGGAGGTTAGCAGCAAATTGCCACGTAACCTTGTTCTAGAATAAGGAAAAGAATTGTTAAAGAAACTTATTTCCAATTCACTTAACTTCTGATCAATCCAAATCTTAATTTGAAGCTTGTTTTTCCTCAGAGATAATAGAATAGACTTATAGAAGTTTGACTTACAATTTTTAACATATTAAACTTTAAAATATATGTAACTTGGAGTGGAAACTCTCTCATCTCCAAAATTGGTTGACCTGTTAAATCTAATATTAACCAATTTTCTATCTTGTGAACAAGAATGGTATACTTCAAAATAATATCAATTGTGATCATTATCTTTATTTTTCTGTTGCAGTCCGTTATGTAATTGATAATGACCTAATGGAAGTCCTTGTATTAAAAAACAATTTTAAATCTTACAAAGAAACCAAAAGGAAAGAGATCAGGAATGGTTTTATGAGGTTACGGATGATAATTCAAGAGCGTGAAAAAGAACTGATGGAGGCAGTAGAAAACCTTGAACTTCAGAAACAAAAGGCACTTTATGAATTTGCAAACCATGCAACAAGGAAAATTGATCAAATGGACAGCCTCATGCAATATTCTAAGGAAGCTTTAAAAGAACAGAGCCCTATTGCATTCCTGCAATCTGCTTGGAGCTTAATAAAGGAAGTAGAAGATATAATTGCAAGTCTTTATCAGCCCAACCCATACCTTAAGGAAGACCCAATAAAGCATCTTAAAGTCAACTTTGAGGAACTTGCTGAAAACCTAGTGAGCATTTTCCCATCAATCCGCAATAAATTACGATATGAACAAATGAATAAAAGTCCTTATCCTTGCAGTTCTGATATCATGATTCCAAGGACTGTTTCAAGTGCACATATTTCAAACCCACTAGGACTGAACAGAAGTTTCTCCTTATCGTCATTTCATTCACTGGCTGATCAAACCTTTATGAGCAATGAACTGCATATTAGACCAAAATCATCACCTCCAACAGAGTTGAAAGGAAATCAATTGTATTCTATTTGGAATGCATCATCAGATACTTCAAAAGATATAAGAAACTATCCAAGCTACGGACCCAGTTACAATCCAGATGTACAGGAGGAATCTTCTTCACCTCCTGGTCTTGTCGTTATTTACCAAACTCTTGTCTACCCAACTATTGCTAAGGTATGGATGTTTTTATTTTCCAACATTGTACTCATTATGAGCATTCACACTTTTTGTAAATTCAAATAATACTGGATAATAGAAATGTGCAGTTAATGGAATTATATATTCATCAGTTCTGCATGTAGTTGCACACTTTTTCTCCCAAATAATTTCCAAGTAATTTCTTTAAAAAGTGTATGGAAAATTAAGTTTCTTCTATTTGGATTTTTTTATATACCTTTGTATGTATTTGAAGAATAATCTAAAATATCTTTCTTGTGGCTTTGCATCATTGACATGAATGAAATCATATCATTGACTTTTGGACCCAAACTTATTCTATCATCACAATAAAAAGCTTCTTTCACAAATGCCATAGGCTAGCATACTATAGAATGCTTCCTTTTCTTTTATCAAGAACCTTGGCTTTTGATCTGATGTACTGTTTTTAAACTCATCTACAACTTAAAATAAGAGTCCTGATCTGACCTGTATTAAGGAAACTGGATGGATAAACTAGAGTAGATTTGCTATGTCTGCCTGCACGGTTTCCATCCAGATTGTCAGAGGGGTAGAAAATGCTGTAAAATTGAAATTTTACTCTTGTTTCTCTACCACCATCCATTTCATGTAAATCTGTTGATTGTTCCTTGCTGAAGTTAAGAGGATTTTGTCTAAGATTAAAATTGGGGCTATTTGAAATAATATTTGCTTTAAAAACTCTTTGGTAGTATATTTATTTTAATAATTGGTATTGATTTTAAGCAGATTTTTTTCAAGAATTTTTTACTTCTCTCCATATTTTATAATTATTTAAAAATATATCTTTATGGCTACCTCTTAATACAAGCCCAGATCTTTTGTGATCTAGCAACCAGACTCTTTCTACACAAAATTTTCTTCTTGAATTATGTATTTTTATTATATCTTTGTTACTTTAATTTTGTATCCATAAAATTCATCAAACTTCTAATTATATTTATTGGCTGTCTTATTGAAATCAGTTGTTGCATTCTTCCGCTGGCTGAATACTTCTTTTATCTGATCTTATTCTTCTTTAGTTTCTACTTATGCCTATAGTTGTCAAAAAAAAAATTACAAGTTGACCTATAAAGTGAAATTTTATTGATAGCTTTTGAAAAAAACTGTAAGCTAATTGTTTCTATAACACTCTAATTTTACTTTTTTCTATTCTTATTATTAGTCTTTTATCCTTTGTAGGTTCAGTGAGTATCTATTTCAAAATAATATATCATTCAGGGATAATAATGCAGCCATCCTGTTATGACAGTGGTCAAATCTACATAGTATGACAAATGGCGAAAGTTTAAATCGCTAGTATAAATTATAAAATGGTGAATCAATATCATTAAAATTGTAAGAGTAGGATTATAAAGACAATACAATATACTTTATTGATTTATTAGTTGACAAATCATATCAGAGCATGAGAATCAGCCAAAGTAAAATATTTATTTATTTATTTATGAGACTTATATACCGCTTTAAGTGCAAGCACTCTCTAAGCGGTGTACACCAGTAAACAATGTATATATATATTTACATTGCCCCCAACAATCTGGGTCCTCATTTTACCTACCTCGGAAGGATGGAAGGCTGAGTCAACCTTGAGCCAGTGAGATTTGAACCGCTGACCTGCTGAACACAGTCAGCTAAAGTGGCCTGCAGTACTGCACTCTAACTGCTGTGCCACCTCGGCTCATATAATATAATAAAATCAATTAAGGTAAGATACAGTGAAATGAGATAAAACAGACTATAGTGAGATTAAATAGAATAAAATTTCTACTATGACACTAGAAAAGGTGAGATAAAGAAAAAAATAAAAGAGTAAGATAAAATAATATAAGATAAAATAATATAAGATAAAATATAATGTAAGGATATATAATAAAATTTATATTAAACTTCAAAGAAGGTATATTTAGGTGAATTCATGATATGTGTTCTCTATTGGGCAGTCCTGACTACAAACGTAACAGTTCAAGAAACTGTGAAAAGTTAGGTAAAAGAGGGGCAATCAGCAGAAGATAAATATTACTAGCTGTAGAGCTAGTAATAAAGGAGGACATGAGCTATGGTTCATCAGGCCACTATACTAGGAGGACAGTGTTGTGCTTTAAAAGAAACTTTCCTATATTTCTTCTGCAAATCTACAGTGAGAAATACACAGAATTAGACCAGGGGCCTTCAAACTGGCAACTTTAAGATTTGTGGACTTCAGATCCCAGAATTCTTCAGCTAGTCATGAGTTGAAGTCCACAAGTCTTGAAGTTGTCAAGTTTGGAGACCCCTGAAGAAGGCTAAATTTAGAGCCTGTCTAAATTTGAGAATTGAGATGTGTTACAGATTAGAATCTCAAATGTGGTTATTTATAAATATATCCTGTGAGAGAACAGCAGCTTCCAACTGATTTTCTATGTCTTAAATCTTTTCTTTTAAATTAATTTAACTCAATCTGAACTCTGTGACAAGACAGCATAGTACGCTACTACACTGATGATACCAGTTATACAACTCTATAATGCAGGGCAAGTTAATGCTCAATGCTTTTCAGATGTTGGCTCAGTGCCTAGAGGCTGGATAGGGAGAAATCAGCTGCAAGTCAACCCTAACAAGACAGATGGCTTTTGTTCCCACCCCTCTGCAATGGTCAGCAAAATTGACATCCCTGACTCAGATTTGTCTTGTAGCTGTGTTCCTATAGTCGCCTAACAATGACATTTTTGCTTCCCATTGCAGGTGATGTAGTTATTCATCCTTACTGCAGTAAGAAATAAGTTATTTTAAAAGATATTTTAAGACCAAGTTGAATTTTTGAATAATAAAATATAAAAGTTTTAAAAATACAAATTACTGAAAGTTTTGGTTATTGTAATTATTAAAAACCACATGCTTTCCTTCTTTATTTTATTTGAGCCACGTGGGACAATTAGGTCTAAAATCACTGAATCTAATGAGAGATAAAACTATGACTCACCTGAAATGTTGTTTCATTTATGACAGTACAAAATGTAGCCCAGACTTTCAAAATGAATGACCATCATATGAGTTGAACTTAATTCCCTGTTATTGTGGCATTTTGGCTGGTATTGGACTTCATATAGTTTTTAGAAGGTGGAAGATTATTAGGTTTAAAATCCATGGGACTGGTACTAAAATGCCTGTATTGTGAACATTAAATATACATAATTAAGTTGGAGTTGTGGGTTTCTGATTTTTTTATTCTACAAATTCTTATAACTCAAATAATGAAATGCTAGTAGCCTTACTTATTAACCCTATTAGTTTGCTAGAGAAAAGTAAAAATGAGGGTGAAGGTTTGTTCTCCAAGCTTGTGAGCTGAATTCCGAGATGTTACCTAGCCTAGTAATGAAACATTCAGAAACCAACCCACAAGTACAGAGAACAACATTTCACACTCATCCTACACCCGAGCTACAGATATTCGCCACTATTTATACTTAAATATATTTTCAGTGCACTTTATTTCTTTGTACTCCACAGCTTTATTGGACCTGTCCAACAGAAGAAGTAGATAGCTTTGAAATTGCTTATTATGAAGTACTTGATGAAGAGGCAGCTGAGAGTTTAATCCAGCCACAACTCATAGGAGTACTTACTGGAATTGTACAACAGAATCTAGAAATACATAATCTGTCCCCTAATACAGAATATCTCTTTAAAGTTCGAGCTGTCAATGACAATGGTCCAGGAGAATGGAGTGAAGTCTGTAAGGTACAATCTTGGGTATTTAATTGCTGGATAAATCAAACTCACATAGACAAATGCATTATCATGATTTTCGATAAATAGCTTATATTTATTCACAGATTATTCGAATGAATTGAGTTTAATGGAATTTGATTCAAACGTTGCTTGGATTATTTTTGTTTTGTTTTTATAATTTGTTTTTGTTTGTTTACCATGGCATTAAAATTCTCTGAGCTGACATGATTTCAAAATGTTAAATAAACATTTTTATAATATTCCATTTTATATATCAAGGAGATAACAAGAATAGCATTTAAAATGTTTCATAACGTGATTTTTGTATGGCACATTTATATGACTGACAGTTTTTGATGTTTCTATTTTACCTCCACTATTTTTTATTTTATTAGTATTCAGATGAAAATTCCATAACAAACACATATTAGGATTTAACTTATACAACAATTGTCCTAATATAGATATTTTTAGACATAGACCATAAGAAACAATTAATGAATTCATAATGAATATAGAAAGCTTTCTCTTAAATCCTTAGAGCAAAGAACGTTCTTCCATAATGAATATTGAACAGATCCATTGTTTTGGAATATTTATTTATATGCCTCCAAATGTGAAAACATTCTGAGGTGTCTGTTTAGTATTTTTAATTCCCATTCCTTGTTTTGCTTGAACATTTGCCACATTATTTGATCTTTAAAAAAGTTAAAATCTTTAAAATGTATTGATTTTTAATATTTCTTCAGCAACAGTATTAAATAATCCTTCATTTTTATTTGGTTGTTGTTGCTGTGCCAAAAGAGAAAACAATGATGAAATATTGAATGGGTTCTTTCAGGGTGGTACAATCCCAACTCTACATTTTACTGGCATTATATTGAATTGATTGCCATTTAATTATTTGTAAACAGATGCAGGAAAGAGATGGTCCCACATCTGCAGCCAGGAAGAGACATTAACTAACAGTTGCTTTCAAGTTGCTTTTTAATTTATTTGCATCCTTATAGTTTTCCTTACACATAATGGATATACTTTAGAAATGTTTATTTGTCCAAATACTTTAGCTTAGAAAGCAAAAAGAATCAATAAAGTATTTATCTTGTTGGGGGAAGAGGGTGGGGAGATTTGCACACTGTAATGGAGGAACTATGATATAGTGGTACCCTTCAAAAGGATACAAAGATATTTGTCATTGAGTAAGGTTTACTTGGAGGTATGTTGGAAGACAATTGTGTTAGCTTATGGGAGCCAAATATTTCATTTAATTTATTAATTTTAGTCAATGGCTAACTCCACTCAGACTCCAGATGGCTTATAAGAAAACCACGAAAACCATTTAGGCAAGGATAACCAAATGCACAGTACAGTATAGGTGCTACTTTGCTCAGTAGTAGTAACTGTGAGAAGGATCTAGGACTTCTAGTAGACAATCACTTGAATATGAGCCAGTAGTGTGCTGCAGCTGCCAAAAAAGCCAACATAGTTCTAGGCTGCATTAACAGAGGGATAGAATCAAGATCACATGAACTGTTAATACCACTTTACAATGCCTTGGTAAGGCCACACTTGGAATATTGCATTCAGTTTTGGTCAACACGATGTAAAAAAGATGTTGAGACTCTAGAAAGAGTACAGAGAAGAACAACAAAGCTGATTAGGGGACTGGAGGCTAAAACATATAAGGAATGGTTGCTGGAATTGGGTATGTCTAGTTTAATGAAGAGAAGGACTAGGAGTGACATGATAGCAGTGTTTCAATATCTCAAGGGTTGCCACAAAGAAGAGGGAGTCAAGCTATTCACCAAAGCACCTGAAGGCAAGACAAGAAGCAATGGTTGGAAACTAATCAAAGACAAGCAACCTAAAACTAAGGAGAAGTTTCCTGATAATTAGAACAATTAATCAGTGGAACAGCTTGCCTCCAGAAGCTGTGAATGCTCCAACACTGGAAGTTTTTAAGAAGAGACTAGACAGCCATTTGTCTGAAATGGTATAGGGTTTCTTGCCTGAGCAGGGGGTTGGACTAAAAGACCTTCAAGTTCCCTTCCAACTTTATTGTTGTTGTTGTTGTTAAGAATGGTCTGTGGTAGGCCTTTTCCAACAAACTAATTTAATCAAAAATCATAACCTTTCATGAGCTGGAGCTCACTTTATCAGAACCACAAAATGGGAAGATAGATTGGTTGTAAAGATGTAGGTTACATGTGAGTTAGAATGCACCTAACTTATCAGTTAACAATTATGATATTGTGTTTCCCCAAAAGTAAATCCTACCTCAAAAATAAGTCCTAGTTTTGGGGCAAGGCACATGCCCAAAAATCAATCTAGGGCTAGGGTGGGGGGGTGGAGCTGCCCCATGCACCCTATACCCACTTACCAGATCTCCCATGAATCGGCACCTGCCTCTCCTTGCCAGGCCACTTCTGCGGTATCCCCTGGCCTGCATTTCACAGTCAGAGGCGTTTCCAGAAAGTACTGTGAAGGCAGGCCGGTGCTCCATTCTCAGCTGCAGAATGAAGCTGCTCCTTCGGCCACAGAAGTGGGCCAGCTGGGCTGGGATGTTGGTGCTGCCACAGCAAGGTGAGTAGAAAAGACATTCCCCCAAAATAAGACCCAGTACCTCTTTTGGAAGCAAAAAAAAAAAAAAAAAAAACTGGGTCTTATTTTCGGGAAAACATGGTATATTACAAACTTGTTGAGTTTTGAGGCCTTTTGAGATTACCTGAAACATTTTGGTGTATTTGACCTCAGCAATCTCTCACTCAGTGATACTGGTAAACCCTAATTTTTCAAAATGGTCACACTGATGGCTGTAACAGAATACTTAGGGAACTTGAAATGCTCTTACATTACTTTGTCCTTGATTTGAATCTTGATTTCACATACAGTATGTCTCTCTAAATTCTTTTTTTCCCTTTCCCCTGAACTCACTCCAGTTTTAAGCAAGCCTAAACCATATGCCTGCTCTACCCCTAGTCTTCCTGATTCAGTATATGTTGCTACAGGATGAAATTCTTCAGGTTTTTGTAAGATTTGCCTTCTTGAATATATGCATGAGATTGTAGCTTTATAGAACCACGGTTAAAAGTAGTTAAATAGGTATCTTTTTTTAAAGGAAAAATATGACTACCTATGTCTGCTCTGGAGGGACATACAAGTTAATAAATGCTTTGTTTGATAAGACCAAATGTGCAACAGTCTCTTTCAAATAAGAGGACATCAAAAAACTTCTTAGCAGTTGATAACTAAAATTAAAACAAAATCATGTTGATAAATGTAATCCTACAACTGAACTATTTCATTTTTTTCTTGAAATGAAAGATCTCATCTCAAAGATTTCCATTGTCCCAAATAATTACAGGAGGAAATATAACGAAGGTCCATTATTTAGCGATGTTGAGGTTCTGCAGATTGGTGTAAGGAGGAGGAAGATATTGCAGGGAGGGGAGCAGGACTTCATCTTTTCACAAACCTTAGTTCCAGTAATAGCTCCAGTGCAAAGTATATCATGATTTATTTGAACATATTTCTTAAATAATGTTAGTGTGTTTATTTATTTAAAAACATCTTACTGATGTACCGTATTTAAAATAATTATTGAAACATGCCAGTACCTTTATTCCTGCTTACTCTCTTGTGACATCTGTTGTGTACCTGTATTTCTATAGTTGATTGACAATCATATTTCTGCTTTCCATTGTAGGTGATGACTCCAGATGTGCGTGCCAAAGTCAAAGCCAGATGGGGACTGCTGAGAAATGTTCAATCTGCTTTCCGCAGATAATCCTGAACTACAGATCTACAAATCATTTTAAGGAGGAAGCTGAAAGTAAGCTATCAGATAGAATCCCATTATATTTTTTCTTTTCTTCATTCTTTTTAAATTAAATTTGTGAACTAGGACCTAAAAATATTCCTTCCAGAATAAAGAGGTCCATGAAATAAAGAAATTCAGCTCTTGTATTTTATGTTTTACAATTTTCCACTTAAGATGGTTAAAAAATTACATTGTTTAAGAAATACATGATGAAAAATCCCTTAAATAAATTCTGTGGTGTACCAAACCTTCAAAGGAACATAATAGATATGTTTTCATATGGGAATGAAGGGCTCACTCTTTATCTTGTCAGTCCAGAGACTTGGTCTGTGTTTCATTTTAATTGGATATTGAAAATTACTTTCTGGATAAAATATTTGAACAGTCCACCTATTATAGATTGTGCCTGAAATTTGTAGGAATTTTATATGCTGTTTTCACTTCATTTACTTATCCTTTGGACTTTAGCAGAATGCTGCTACAACAGCCATTATCATCTGTACATTTTATACACGATAGGCACTATATAGATGAATATGTAATAAAAAGTTCAGCAACTAATAAAAATTCAGCAGTTAAGTGGAATTCAGTCCCATTTAAGAGTCCAAATAAACATTCATTTATTGTCTTCAAGTTTTTCAAGCATCAGAGTCTTCTCCAGTAACTCTTGTCTTTGTATTATGTGTCGAAAGTATTTAAGCATTAGTTTCACAATTATTGCTTCCAGTGAATAGTTTGATTTTACTTTATCTAATCTAGAATTATTCATTATTGTGTGGATCAAGTAATACTTAGCAATTTTTTTCAGCACCATCTCTCAAAGGCATTTTTTCCCCTGCAGACTTTCTTATGGATCCAGATTTCACAGCCATATGTTAGAACTGGGCAAAACATTGCATTGATAATACATATCTTTGTTGCCAGTTTCCTATGTCTGCATTACAAGAATATTAAACCAATAGAAAATTGGGAGCTAGTGTAACTGTTTTTTCAAAACATTACTTAGCAATAACCAAATGTACTGCAATGGAGCTTTGGCACCATATTTAGCATCTTTCTGAACAGGCATAAGAGTGTCCTTATATATATATAGGACATTACACAAATAGAGATTTGAGGATACTAATAGATGAGTTAATAAAGCTGAACTATCCATATCAAACATTTTTTCTTCAGTAAAGAGATTCCATTAACTGACTCAACAAGCTTTCCTAACATACCGCCGGGTGGCTTGGACCAACTCACATAAATCCTAGTGAGCACAATCATGCAAATTAGGCAAAGCTACCCCAGTTCATATTTTGGTGTCACTATCAATCTAGAAATGTAAATCAAGAAAAAGTTATGGGTGCTAGACTATTCTCAAATAGCTAGTCAAAAAATTGCAAGGATAGACTTCCACAGATACAAAAGTTCTGATAAGTAAATCTAAATAGCTAATGAAACTATTGTGAAAGAATTACAGTGTCCTCTGTATCTGAAATGCCTGTGTATACTGAAATCAAGGCTTGAACCACTGTGTGTTTCTTTACTTCCTATGCACTAAGCCATTCTCTTCTGGGCAAATGTATTGTTTTCCCTTTCTCTTGTTTTTATAATGAATAGATCTGATACTATACTATTTACTTGTGACTATGGGAGAACTGACTCTCAAATAGGGCACCAAATTCTGCAGCACAATGAATCACTTAATAAAAATTTTGCTTTAAAAAGAATGTCTTTATATGTTTAAGAACATGTTAGCACAGCAGTTAAAACTGATATAAATTAATACTAGCAATCTATGGACCTTTTGTTTTCTGTCAAATTCAGCAGCTTTCTTTCATCTTCATTTTATCAGTGGCCCTAAGGATGCTTGTCAAACCCTTATCTTATTCTCATCTGTTTGCTAATTCATCTCACTGTTTTTCTTTCCCTTGCTAACTTAAAATTTGATTGACTTAATCACACTAATCCCTCTTTGTTGCCATTTATAAACTTTGGGCTATTAGAAGGACATACCTTTCAGTGACACTTAGCAAATAAAAAGTTTCTGTCAGCAGCCCAAGAAATATAATTATTTATATTTATAAATATTGATAAAGGGAGAAAGTCAAAGGCCATATTCACCATTCCTTTGGAGACTTGGTACTTAGGAGTGTTATGAAGGCAAAAGGTTTCTTTGTGTGCCCATTGAGTGTAGCAGCCCTGTCTGCTTTGGGAACCTTTAAGAATGCCAGCTGCAGTAGATAATAATAATAATAATAATAATAATAGTAAAGTTGGAAGGGACCTTGGAGGTCATCTAGTCCAACCCCCTGCTTGGGCAGGAAACCCTACACCATTTCGGACAAATGGCTGTCCAGTCTCTTCTTAAAAACTTCCAGTGTTGGAGCATTTACTGCTTCTGGAGGCAAGCTGTTCCACTGATTAATTGTTCTCACTGTCAGGAAGTTTCTCCTTAGTTCTAGGTTGCTTCTCTCCTTGATTAGTTTCCACCCGTTGCTTCTTGTCCTGCCTTCAGGTGCTTTGGAAAATAGCTTAATTCCCTCTTCTTTATGGCAGCCCCTGAGATATTGGAATACTGCTATCATGTCCCCCCTTGTCCTTCTCTTCGTTAAACTAGACATACCCAATTCTCGCAACCGTTCCTTATATGTTTTAGCCTCCAGTCCCCTAATCATCTTTGTTGCTCTTCTCTGTACTCTTTCTAGAGTCTCAACATCTTTTTTACATCGTGGTGCTTGAACAGAGTTGTACTATCCTGAATATAGGAATGTGACTGTTAGTGAAAGACATAAGCAGCATCAGAGAGTTCACATTTACCAATCCTATCGCTTGATTCTCCAAGACTTTGTCATAAATTAAGGATAAATCGAATTAATCTGCTTCCATTCCATGTCAGTCAATATTTATTTATTCAGGAAACCCTCATGTCCTTTTTTGGAATTAATCTGAGAATTCTTTTTTTAAAAAAAATGTATGTAAATGCACAAATAAATATTTATAGAACTTTTGAGCCAAGAACTATACTATTAGATTTAAGCAAATGTAAATTTGATACAAATATTAGCACAAGGATTATGGATTCTTATGGGAATCTGCAAAATACAATTTTGCTGGTGAAGATGAGAGGACTCAAGTAATAAAGGGAGCAGAATCATGCTCACAAGCCTTACACCTATGGGCTTCCTCCATTGAGAACTTAGTTTATGCAGTGTATACATCTGGAAAGGCTTTTAAAGTGCAGAGACTGATCATGTTTTATGCATCTCAGTATACATTTTTCAATTTTTTTTCAGATTGAAAAAAAATCAGATTTTAAGTTTAGTCAATGCTAATTTTATAAAAAAAAACCTTCCAAATGTATTCATTAAAAAGGATGAAAGAACTTCAGATTTTAAAAATTGGTATGAGAAATAAAGAGGCAGATGTGTCCTTCCTTAACCCTAATCAGGCACTAATTGATGTGCTAAGACTGGATGATCAAAAGCAGTTCTCATCATTCCATGTCAACCCATTGGGATCCCGGCCTATTAGCATAGTTTATGAATCCATCCACTGAGCTATCAGGAATTTAAGCAGCCTCCTCCTTCTGGTTTTGTGGCATTGGTATTCAGAAGAAAACACATTTTTTCATATTAGTCTGCCTTCACTTCAGCTGTCCCATCTCCATTCCAGCTTGCCTTTCTCCTTAAAAAAAAGTATTAAATCCCTTGCACACCATTCAACAACTGTCTTCTGCGAGCACAGCTAAATCCCATGGTGATTGGTTGTCTGCAGCCCAATTTATTGCATTCCTTTCCTCAATAAACAGTCAAGGCAAAGCATGGAACAATTTTTCTTATCTATTACCAGCCGCTCCATTTCAGTGGAGGTGGATGTGCAGCTTCATAGCTAATGCATGTTTTTTTTAATGCATGGTCTGAAAATGAATTTTAGCTGTTTATAAATAAATAAAACCCCCAGTAAGATATTTGCATAATTACTTTTCAAGGTAATGAGTGAGACAAGAGGCCAAAACATAGACACTAAATATCTTCCAAGCAGGCTGCACTGCTAAATAAACACGCAGCTCATGTAAGCACTGAGCTGTAGGGCAGACAGAATTGCACATAATTTATTTAGGGAACAATGTGCAATCTATTTGAGTCAGATGCCATACCAAAGGGAACACGTGAAAGACATATAGGTAATTGAATATTAGATGAAACATTATTGTAATTCAAAAATGTTTGTCCCTGGAATTTTTCTTGCCAGCCTCATCATTAAGGAGTTTTACATGCAACAAAGATGTTTATAATATCGGACATGATCCAAAGATGTTAGATTATTGGTCTGATTAGAAGGCAAAGATGAAATGATCCCAGCACATTCTTTACATTGAAACAATAACTGGCATGAACTTTTGTAAAAAAAAAAAAAAAAATCCTTTAGCCCGGACTCATTGGATTTAGTTAGCTTTCTTTATAATTATTTATCACAACTGAATTCCTCTCACTCCTATTTGTTTGGCCATCCTTTCACTGTAATTATGAGTTCAGCTTCAATTCAGAAAACACAAATATATTTTACCCACTTCTCAAAAGAAATAGACTAGTTAAAGCTTGGATATAATTATATTTAAAGTATGAAGAGACAATCCAAAAAGTCTGGGTTTCATCCTACATTTGCTCCTGAATCACTTTTACATTCACCTTGTTAAACCATGGTTGAAATATTAAATGGATTTAGGAGCTGGCTTTTGAATATAAATGCCCATCTTTTGGTAGACAGAATGCATCTACCTCCATAAATTCCTATGTGAAGATAGGAAACAAAAGGATTTGTTTTTAGTTATTTTCAATCTAATAAAACATAACAAAATAAGCAACAAAAAAATGCAGCAGTATTATACATTTTACTAAAACATGCTGGTCATAAGTTTCTTTCAGCTTAAGAAACTGAAGCCTATGTAGACATACAACATGTGCAGTTGCACTGTAAATAAATCACTGGGTTGATTCAAATAACTCTGCATTCCTTCTACACAGGAATTCTCCATTCCTTCAATGTTTGAGCTTCTTAAACCATCACCTTCTGTTATATCAAAATTTGTAACCCAGGGAAAGGAAAGCAGGAGGTTTGTCTTCCTTTTATGATTTAACAGACAGAAACTGGTATCTGAAAAGCCCTTGCAGAGTGAAATTCACTGTAGCTTGGCTTTTATTTTGACCGGTATAAAATAGCTACTTAGCAGTAGGAAATTTGCTAGATTTCTAAATTAGAAATGATGCTGATAGCCAGAGTCCAAATTAACTAGGATTGCCCCCTTCTTTTCCTCCGCTCTCCCATTCTTTGTCTTTCTGAGATTCATTTCCCTGTGGTATATTTCCCCATCCAGATGGCTGTCAGAGGAGAACAAAATTATTTTTATCATAGATCTAAAACAATCTGTTGAAAGCTTAGGTCAAGGGCTTCCTTTATTTCTGGATTTAGTACAAAATATAAGATTGATTGTAATAATGCATATTAGTATTAATTTCCCATAGTTATATGCTTGGAAAGCAATATAAGTATAGTGCTTTTGCGGGAGAATTGTAAGGAAGCAAGTGTATTTGTCAAAGAATACAGAGGAACTTTCCACAAAACTTTGCTTAAAAGTCTATGATTTACAATGTGTGCTCTAGGCTATTGTCAGTTTTGGCCATAAATGTTCTTCCCTAGACAGGTTTAAGGTACCATGACTTAGGGGGATAGAAAACATTAACAAGCACACTTTTTTTGAAAAACTGAAGATATGAATATCAGTTCTATATCAGGTAAGGTATCTCTTATAAATATACTATATGTGGTACATATGGAGTTCTTGAAAACATTTCATGTGTATGAATAGTAGGCATTCCAATCCATTCCAGAATGCAATATTATTTTTCATCAGAAGTTAAACTATAAGTATACAAATTCATAAACAGAAAGAGTATAAATATTTTGGTTCTTTGAAATCTAATATTCAAGAGAAACTAGACACATTGAAATGATTATTATTTACAACTGAAAGTCTCCAGATTTTGTAATGCATGTTAGCTATTATTGTATAAGGATCAGTGAATTCTATTAAAATGATTGATGAGTTACTAAAGATCCAAGTTCCATTGAATTTTTCTACAAAGGGTGATTTAAATGCTTATATAAACATTTATTAAATAAATCAAATATTTTTTTTTCATTTTAATTTAAGTAAGACTTTTGTGATATCTTGTTCCTCTGATCTAGAAATATGTAGAGGAAATTTAAAACAAACTCAGCAATACTTCAAAATTGTGATTTTAATGCATGGTGTCTTTATTATATGAGTATTAAACATATTTGTTGTATCTGAATATTTCCTCCATAAAATATACTGTTAAGCTGTTCCTGTCCTACGACTGGCTTCACTCTAAGCTTCTTTAAGAAAACCATGTCTGGCCTAAGATTCTGTCTGTCTGATAGAGTTATATGGTTGCCCATCAAACAAGAACTCTGAACTGGAATTGACTTTGAAATTCAAGCTAGACAGCAGGTTATTACATACATAGATACTCTCAGTGCTTTTTTTTTTGAAGAAAAAAAAAGGTGCTGGAACTCACACACGTCATACAACCCGCCTTGCCTACCCTACAAGGTTCCATCCAAAAAAGGTGCCGGAACTCCATTCTGGGCGTTCTATGAGAAAAAAAGCCCTGGATACTCTTGAAAACAGTATGGTATGCAGCAGAACAGGGAATTATGAGCATGATACATTTGCTCCATGAGCTGCACTAATATAGATATAGATACAAATACAGTTCAAGTTAATGGCTATTACTTATAAAGTCCCTCATAGCCTAAAGCCTGGTTATCCAAAGAACCAATGCCTTCGGTGGCTTCTCTTCATTTTATATGAACAGGCTACTATAGTAGTTGGCATGCTCAAGGTCCCATCCATTAAGCAGTGCCTCCTGATGGGACCTAAGAAGTATCCAATCTTTTTCATAGTCCCTCATCCTCTCCCTCAAAGTACATCTGATCCCCACACCAGACATCTTTAAAATAGCCC